ACGGTGTTCTTATAGATGGGAACTCATAAAATGGGCTCTTTCATATAGTCTCCAGTTCATCAGGATGGAGGGAAAGCGTGGTGGGCGTCACTGTTTTGGGCACGAGAATCTCTCAGTTTGAAGTTTCTCCCACATGACTGAGATTAGGAGCCAGTGACCGTATGGTCTTGTGTTCCTGCCCGTCTCCTTCCTTCGTTCTCTCACACATATTTGTGTTGTTAATGCTGAGGAAGAGGAGGAGAGGAAGGGGAAAAGAGTGCAGGATGAAAGACTCGTTCTGTTCCCTGCAGAACATCAGACACGTGAGGCGTGAAGGTGAAGGCTTCCTGGCGCTCGCCTGGCTGATTGAATTAAAAAATGGTTTCTGTACAATGATGCACGTGAATGCTCTTTGAAGGGAGACTCAAAGTGTGCACTGCACATGATGCCCTGTGAAGACAACACAGCCTGTCGGTGTGACCAGCAGCAGAACTACAACTACAGCCAGATCAACAATGACTGAACAATGAAAAAGTAGTTTGAATAAAACAGGTTCACGTGACAAATGAATATGTCTCGAGCTTGGATTCTGAGGTATTACTGAACATAAAAATGATTTTAAGGCAAAAATATCCAGTTATTAGGTAACATCAGCTGTGAAAAGCTTCAAACAATGGTGTTACCTTAAAATGAGTCCCAGCATTTTATACACTAGTGTCAAACATAAGGCCCGGGGACCAGAATCAGCCTCGAAAACACTGTGATCTCACTGGACAGCTTTAATGTGAAGGAGTGCACAGATTTTGGTCTTTTAACTGACTTTTCACAAGTTTTACAGTTTTCCCCACAGATAAAGACCCACTGCCATCCATACTACACCAAATTCTCTGTGAATTAATTAAAAATTGTAATATTTTACGATAAATTGTATATTTTAAATCATATTTTATTATAAATATATTTATTTATAGTCTGAGCAATGGACTACCAGAATCTTTTGTGTAACTCTACACATTTATCATGATTTTCACTGGTCCAGCCCACTGCACATCAAAGTGGGCTGTGTGTGTCCCACCATGTTAATGACTTTAACATCCCTGCAATACGTTTTTATGATTAGTAAAAGTGTAACTAAGATTTTTTCCTATGTGACGTCTTTGATTCCAATTCCAATTGAAATAAATGAGAATATTATGTGATGAATTTTTTAAGTTTTGTGAGGTTTGGCATGAAAATCATTCAAAAACAGTAAATTTATTTGTTTATTTGTTTTTAATTCCTGCCTGTAGTGCAGGGAGACATTTACACTGAACTATAAGGGGAACATATGAGGTGATTATTAGTATAAAAACAGATTTCTAAGTGGAATATGATGTAGGAGCAGTCTGCGCTGTGACTGGCCGGTTGGTCGTGTACGAAGGTCTGGTGGTCTCTGAGTTTCTCGATCAGACCCTCCCTCTCTTCACATCTTGTTTTTGTGGAGCTCTCTCTCTCTCTCACACACATTGTTGCTGAGTTCCTCTCAGGTCATCAGATTAATATCTGCCTGCTGTTCTTCAGAACAGGTGCAGTGAAGTCACATTTTCACTCAGATAAAAAGAAACTGCAGGCGGGGAGAAATCACTGCAGCGATGCAGCTTTAACAAATATGAATAAGCTCCAGCTTATCTCCCTTCCACGCATATTAAATCAGGTGACTTGTGTTTTTTGGATTGTTGCTTAATCTCAGTGAAGAATGAGCTTCCACAGATAACGCCCGAACTGAGGAGAAGTCGCCGTGTTAAGAATGAGAAGTATGCGACGGCTGAAAAGAATGAACTGAGGGTTTTCAACAGAGCGGGAGGTCCTGCCATGCCTCTGTCATGATCACCTGCTTCATTTGGTGGGAACAAAAGAGCTTTTGGTTGTTCTTTTCAGCCCAAATTTAATTACTTGTAATTTTACTTCCAAGAATCAAACATGCAGCAGGAACAAAGTGTAGAAACAAGTCAAGTGAAATCAGATTTGCTGGTTTGGTGACTTCAGTCGTAACCTGACACTTTGATTAACTCGATTAACAAAATAAGAATGAAGATTAAAGTGTGAGGGAGGCTGTCATCACCGTGCTGCTTACATCTTCTCTAATGTGTGGTGCAACAGAAGATCACACACAGTTCAAACTACAAAAGGGAACACATAAACCCATTTACCCCTGAAAAACAGTCAAATTCCAGTCTGCTTATCCACGTCAGGGTCGTGGGGGGGCTGGAACCTATACCCGGCTGAGACACTGCAGACAGGCTGTCGCTGGGCCAGACAACCATTCACACTTACGGTCAGCTTGGAGTCACCGGTGAACCTTACCCCATCTGTGTGATTGGAGGTGGAGTAGCTGGAGAGTTTACAGAGAAAATCCCCAGACTGGATCAGAATCAGTAAAACTAAATGATGAATGTGTGATGAACGTCCACTTAGAGTCTATTATTAACTTTCTTCTTCTTTTGGTAGGCTATGGTGTGTTGATATCTGTGCATTCCTGTATTATCCTTTTGTGTTACACATTTCTATGTTTTTTTCCTTGCTACCTGGCCTGACCTGTCTGCCCAATGTGATGTTTGTGTATTGTATGTACGGTCGGCAAGGTCTGTCATCTCGGTCGTGGGCAAAAGACCTGCAACTGACAAATAAAGGCCATCTCTCTCATCATCATCTTTTGCTGTGGGAATCACCACGGCAGATCATCTGCCTCCATCTGACCCGACCCTTAGCATGCTCCTCCTTTTCTACCTTCATGAATCTTCTCTCTGTTCTTCGTCTTTTCCTCCTGCAGGCAGCTCCATCTCCAGCGTGTTTAGTCCAGTGTATCCACCCTCCCTCCTCTGCACATGTCCAAATCATCTCAGCCTCTAACTTTGCTCGACCTGAGGTGGCGGACTTATTTCTAATCCTGCTCGCTCCCAGTGAACATCTGAACATCTCCAGCTGTTTCACATCACCGTTAACTCTGGACGTTTCTGATCCAATATGGAAATGTCATTTTTAATAATCCACGTTTGATTTCTCAATGATTTTGCACCTATGCATTAAGATACAATTCATTATTGAAATGCATATTATTCTGTATAACTCTTTCCTTGAGTTATTTAAAATAATAAATTTTAATGCTAAACAACTTGAAATAATACTGAAGTAAAAAAATGTACCAAATGATTTCTTGTCTAATATTCTGATTTCCTGTGGGTCTCCACTCTCCTCCACCTTGGTCTTAGTCCCGTTTGTGCTGCTCTATTGGGAATAAAATGCTGGAAATATCACTGGTGTGTGACATGTAACACAGAATAATATTTCACAAGATTTTAGATTTATAGAACAAACGGGCCTTGTTCTATTTGATAGTTTGACAACAGGTTTTATTGTTTTGTCTTTTCTACACTCAGATATTTCTTTTGTCCATCACTCACCGGAGCAGCGCCTCTGCTGACACTTTGATAACTTGAACTGTAATTCTTCCCGTGGGTTTAATATATTAACATTAACATTCACACACAACCAGTGAAACACTGACACCCAGACTGTTTGTCACAGAATATTGGGTTCAAAAACTTTCCCTCAGTGGGCAAAATGGGAAGCACATCGTTTTACTTTGCTCTCAACTCACATCCATCCATGAGATAAACACATCCTCCCCTTCACTGTCACTTCTTTTCGTTTTTGAATCATATTGAAGGTTTTACTGCCACAGAGACCCTGAACACATCATACAGGACACACAGTGTTTCTCTGGTGGCTGCAAAACTCAGTCATAACTCACAGTGTGTTTGCTCACGCTCAGCACTCATTTGTACTTCAAAACCAGGAACACTGAATTTAGAGATTCGATTTTAAGGAACAAGGATAAAGTGATGTTTAATGTTCAGTGTCCTTCGTAGACTCTGTGGTGAAAGTCTCTTTATCGGCCTGCCGTCAGTGAGGTCAAAGGTTAGTCAAGCTTCACTAGCACCTGATTTTAGAACGCAGCTGTTTTGTTCCACAGGAGCTTTAATCCAACCAACCACAAAGTCATCCTACAGTCTCTGTCTCAGATGTGTGGGCAGCTGCAGCTGATCTTCTTTTTTTCTTTGGGGCTGGGGGTTGGGAAGCGTATCTGTAACCGGAAGGTCGCCGGTTCGATCCCTGGGCTCTCTGTCCTGGTCGTTGTGTCCTTGGGCAAGACACTTCACCCTACTGCCTACTGGTGTTGGCCAGAGGGGCCGATGGCGCGATATGGCAGCCTCGCTTCTGTCAGTCTGCCCCAGGGCAGCTGTGGCTACAACTGTAGCTGCCTCCACCAGTGTGTGAATGTGAGAGTGAATGAATAGTGGTATTGTAAAGCGCTTTGGGTGCCTTGAAAAGCGCTATATAAATCCAATCCATTATCATTAAATGATCACATGAAAATATGTGATGAAAGCTCAGGTTTTATCTGTTCTTATTTCGGATGGTTGCCTTTATTACCTAAGAAATGTATAAAAAAACAAATTTTCCTTAAACTCACATATGCAAGGATCTAGTGATTTATTTTTATTAATGTCAAGACTTCTTCCTGCCAGCGTGTTTTCATCATACTGCTGATTGACTGAGATCAACACAGCTGTACATCCAAGTCTGTGCTTCAGGTTTGGTGTTGAAACGTCTCTTTTTTTATTAGTCTGTCACTAATTAGCAGGTAAGCAGATTAACAGATGTGATCACATCTGGCTCCAAAATGAGGCTGAGGTCGAACTGCTTACGTGGAAGCTTCAACAGAGAGACATCAGTGACATCAGGGGGCATCAGCCGTTCTTTTTTTTCCATTTCATCTCCTGTTTCCTGTTAACACTTATCTAAAGCTATTAAAGGCTTTTAAAATATACAATTTCTGTCAAAGAACTTTGTGCTGAAGCCTCGATTAGAAATCACAGATATGAAAAGTGTCGCGTTAGTTTCAGTCACATGACCGAGGAACCTGTTTTCATTCGTGTGCACTCGTACCAATGCAAACATATGATTTTGCTTTGTTACTGAGCTTGAAGAAAACGCTTTAATTTTAATGTGCAGAGCAGATGGAAGGAAGGTAATTATGATGTCACACCTGTCTCCAGTTCAGCTATTTGTACACTTTGATTTCTGTGATTCCTGTGAACAAACGAACTAACTCTGCATGAAGAGGTGAAAATTGGCTCTGGTGAACTCCTGATGGATGGTCTCCAACAGGATGTCATCGTCTTGTCCTCCACCCATCCCTCCTTCTCTCTTCCCTCCTCCGGCTGTCATTCGGGCCGACGGGGGCGGCTGGAGCTCAGGCGTGTAGGTGAAACTGTAGGAGGTGCGATAAATCAGTCCATCCAGTCGGACGAGAGACAGAGGGACGGTGATGACGCGCCGCAGACAGCGCCAGCCGTCGCTGAAAACCGAAACATCGGGAACGACGCAGAGCAGAGATTTGGGAGACCTGAGAGGAAAAACAAGGACATGAAAGTCAGAGCTGTGGTCTGGAAAATAAATGAGAAGACAAACTTCGAAAGTTGCTGACTGCTGTAAAGATGTAAGGAGCAGGACGTCACTGGAAGCACCAAATGATCTGATCAAATATAAAACAGATAAAGTGAAGACCTTTAAAGAGTTTTTAAAGACATTAAACTTAAAATGTAACTCATCTGTATGAACTGTGTTGTAGAAAGATGCAAAAAGAAAAATAAATACAGTAAAAGGTATAAAAATGTGACAGAAAAAGAAAAGAAAGAAAAAATGCAAATGTGACATTTTTCTATACCTAATACTTCTTCAGTTTCTCCTTTCTGAGAATTTGAATGAAGCTGTTTAAGTTAATGAGTATAAACTAAACATAAACGTGTGGCTGGTACGAGGTCTGAGCAGACAGCAGACACTGTGAATGCCCTTTTATAAAATATTTTATTTGAACCTATATTGCGCCTCTGGTTGGCCTGGCAGGGAGGGATCATGTTCCTAATTGGCTGCAGCTTCTTGCACAAACAGCACATTGTGGACGGCTGTTCTTCACACACGCTGCTGCAGAGCCTCGCGGTGAGCCGCTCTCACTGTGACCCTGACTTACGATGCCTCAGCACTTCAGGTGTGGGATCTGAGGTGGATCCTGACTTCAGAGGCCTGTTTTACTTCGGTTTGGTCACATGAGATTCTGTGAGAGCACGGCTGGATGTCAAGTTTCTGTGATGCCCGTCTGTAAATTACAGACGCCCACATAAGAGTTAGAGGGAGGATTGTTCCCTGTGAGCCAAGCTGAGTTCCTCCTACTGATGTTTGGTTATAACATAAACCTCTTTATACATCGCTCTGGTCCAGGCTTGGCTCGGACTATCAGGGCGGATGAATACGGGTAAAGAGGAGACTTTTTTACATTGATGTCATAACTTTTAAAAATGCTTCCAGTTAAAGTTGCTGAAAAAAAATGCCCATCATGTTTTCCCAGAGTCCTGAATTTTATCCTTGAAAAAAATATGGTGCATTTTTCTATTTTCAACAAAAACAAATGTTTTAGAAAATCCTCAACAAACTGCGAAAAATCCCTCTAGCTGTGAGAAGCTCCGCCCCCTGCAGGGGCCATGTAAATTTAACAGGTTAAGTTTTTAGGTAAAAGGCGCCTGTGACACTATTTTGCAGCTTTATATTTCGATCCTGCTGAAGCAGCTTTCCATGATTCAAAGCTGAAAACGACTCGTGATTGCTCACTTACTTGTACATGGTCTCTGCTTCGCCGTTGCCAAACCAGACTTTGAGATGAGGAGTGAAGTTTTCTCCGTGAATTTCCAGCATGGCGACGTGCCCTCCACCATTCACCTGCAGGAAGAAAAAAGGAACTCTGGATCTCCTTGTTTTGACTGAGTGGTTTGCTCCATTTCTAGCTAACAGCACATTTAGGATTTTATAAAAATAATTTTTTAAAAAAGTAGAAAACACATGAGAACCACACAATGTGATGGTTTGTCTTGGCACTTCACCTCTAACCCAGTGACAACAGGAAATGGGCTAACTGGTGTCGTGATACAAGCTAGACCCTGATTGAAGGTGAACTCTACGACTTCCACCCCGATGATGGTCCAACAGGACCCGTCATTCAGCACCACTTTGCTGGGATCTCTGACGCTGAACGGGGCCTGAAGGGAAGAAAAAGATGGAGGAGATGGTTAAAAGGAAGAAACATGTCAACAGGACAAATGTGAAGGTGTCAACTGGAAGAAATAAACACAGGCAGGTGGAGGACGAATCGAAAACAAAGGCTGGGAAAGAGAAGAGAACCTGGTACTCTATGATGGCGTCGTTGGTTAGACACAGATAGGCGTGAGGGTTGTCTCTGAACTGAAAGGCGCACTTGTGGAGCTGAGAAACGGGCTCGTCCACGTCTAAGATGGCGTGCTGCTTGTTGACCTTTCGGATCACCTGAAGATGAAGAACTTTAGCTTAGAATCGATTTATGAATAATTAAAATATTTCCCCAATAATAACAACTTAACTGTTAGAAAAAAAAAAGGTGCTATCAGGCATGATTTGGAGGTCACTGTTTATCTGTTCTAGCAGCTCTTTGAGGCTAATGTGAAATGCAGTTCACATTTGTTTTAGTTGGAGCCAGTTCGCCTGTTTATGTGTGTAAATAAAAATGCATTGCAATAATTTAATTATAAGTCACTGAATTTACAAATAGGTTAAAAACTTTGGTTTATTACAAATGCTAAATACACTGAAACTCAGTGTGCTGATAGAAGAAAAAACAAAGGAAATGAGAGTTTTTAAATATAGAAAAATTTTAAAAAAGTTTAAATGATGCTTTTGTTTGGATTTTGCAGGTGGAGAATTTGAATTTGCTGTCAGGACACTGCAGCTGTGGGAGGATCACAGCTCGAGGCAGTGCTTCTGATTGTGCTTATGGACAGTTTCTAGATATAAAAGGGCTTAATCATCACTTTACAAGGATTTTAACATATTTACACATCCTACTGTGGTCTTATATAACTGTATATTATTCCCAGGTATTATTGCTGAGGGTAATAAAAACATAAATTTGTCTAATACATCTACAATAACAGTTTTTTTTTAGATCTGTTGAAGAAGAAATACCACGGGCTTCTAAAAACCATCCAAATATATCATCTCACAGATGTAGTCAGAGATCAGGAGAGTAAAATAAACAGTGAGCAGCTGTCTGAGATAACACAACCAGCAGAAACTGAGCGATTCGGGTTTTAAAAGATGTACAAACATCATCCAGGTGTATCTGTGGAGGTTGGACACTGAATTAACTGTGGTGTTTTCTGGCGCCGAGTCCAAACCTCAATATTAAGACACTTAAATGTACCCTAAACTGCACCACACACACAATCTGAAACACTTTGTTCTCGTGCTGCTGAGCGTTTTGTCTTCACCTCTCCGGTCGCTGAACGCCGACCACGACCGCCACAGTCCAACGCCAGCTTTCTCTGTCTTTAAACAAACCGGCTGCAATAGGCCTCAACTACAAAAACATATAGAGGTGTAGTGTGCGGGTATACCCTCACCAATTACCAGCAGGCCAGCAGCTCAGGGTGTTATGACAGCAGTTTAGGAAGTACAGAGAAAGGGTGTGCTCAGTGAAATGTGACGGACTGCAGTGCAGACGTTTGTCTAAGAACGGCTCAAACTGTAAGGATATCTGTGGGATTAGCAGCTTATGTAACACCTGCACAGACACACATCTGGAAGTCATTCAGTATTGAGCAGCGATTATACCTTAACTGATTTTATGGTCAAATAATTAGTGCAGAGCGCACCCATTTCCCCACTAATTTCCAGCTATAGATGGTTATAAAGAGCTTCTTTTGTTGATAAGATATTGAAAAGTCAACATTGATTAATCCAACTTACTTCCAGGAATCTGGTGTCTCGCTAACAAACACTTCAGCAGTGTGTCTGCTTTGGGATTTAAAGATTCTTAGTAAACTAGCAGGATTTTCCCAAATCTCGTGGTTATTGTTTTAATATCCTGAGATGAGCTCAGAGAATTTCATTCAAGACTTCTGAATTTACAGGGTTGTTTAATCTCAGTGGTCGATTGTTTCATGTATATCAGCCTAGATTTAGGAACATAAACTGTGGCTAATCTGGAAAACACTCCATGTTTCCACCAGAAAAAACTATTTACTGCCCCAAATTTGGAACTAATGACACCTGTGGCTGTGGGAGGGGCTATTCCTAGAAATTTCCTAATGTTTTACAGACGCACACCTGAGATCCAGTCTGACACAATTTTCTTTTCACAGAAAAAAATAAATAAAAATCATTTGATTCTCCATTTTGTAGAAATGTGGCATGGTTAGAAAAAAGGCATTAAAGGGTATCTGGTATTTCTATCATGTTTATTACAAGATTTGTAATCTTTTCGAGCTTTGTTATTTATTATTATGAGGTTTGCTTCCATCATCTCACTGTGTCGTCCTCTGCAGCTGTTTAATGACACTGACTACAGCAGAGGTTTTCAAAGCTTTGGCTGAGTGCAGATAAAATTCACTGGAATACCAGTGAGGGCACATATGGTGGACAATACAAGGTATGCACTATTCACATACGCTCTGTGTGTGTGTGCGTGTGTGTGTGTGTGTGTGTGTGTGTGTGTGTGTGTGTGTGTGTGTGTGTGTGTGTGTGTGTGTGTGTGTGTGTGTGTGTGTGTGTGTTACCATGGGTGGCAGAGCTGCTCCAGACTCGGTGCACACTAGCTGGACCACACAGCCGTAACAGATGAAGCCTTCGCTCAGCACAAAGCCTCCTTGCTCAGCACACTGGTCATCTACTACCACACACACACACACACACACACACACACACACACACACAACTATGCATGAATATTCATATTCCTTCCACTGCAGCACACACACACACACACACACTGACAGTTAATTTCTGCACATTTTCAGCTTTATTACATTTTTTCCTTGCATGACTTTTCTGCTAACAGAGGGCAAACAGACCGTCGGTGTGCGTGATCGAAGAGAGGACCAAGTGCTGATGGATGAATGACTGAGGTTTGGGTTTTGGTGGTGGGAGGTCCGTGCACACAGGGCACTGTGTTAAATAAATAACCTCACAGATCTTTAAATGGACTCTTCTAGACTTTACTGAGGAAAACCGCTCGCACAGTGACTGTATTTATGCAGGATGGCTGCAGGGCGAGAAGACACGTCTGCTGACTGGAGGATACACGTTTGACACCATCACAGACAAATCAGAGCCTGTTTTCATAGGTGCCATTTGATTTCTCACACACAGGACACCGCACGAATCCTTCCACATGCTGTGTTCCTACTTCTCTGTTTGGTTTAGGTGAGGATGCTGGAAGAATAAAGCATCCAAAAGACACCATGAGGACCACGGGTGTAGGTTCTGTTTGGGGACACCAGCAGACACACTTCCTGCCTATTGAATTTGTATACAACAATTTCTACCTTACATGCATCGATTTATAGAAGAGAAATGGGCAACATAACCCAGTAAGAGCTCTAAGCTATTCTGTGTTGCTCAACATAATTATTCTCCACATTGTTCATTCAATGCACTCATTTTACTGAGTGTGACTGCAAACAAGAAGCTCAGGCAGCATAACTGTGCTAACATCCTTCATATTACAGTTTGAGGGTAAACGGCAGTTTTATGGGATGTCTGTGTTCTACATCTATGTTTTTCAGTTAAAGTCAAACTGTTAAATCATAAACTGAAAACATTATGACCTTCCCTGTATCCAAAGCATGTGTTTGTGTGTGAATACAAAGCTTTGAATCTACTGTACTGTTTGCACACAAGCCGTGACACATGCTGACACGGACACACACTTACCCATGGTGATGGTGAAGGCCGTCCAGTGTCTGGCGCTCGCTATGAAAGCTCCTCTGTCCACCGAGAGGTAACGAGTGCTGACGGTCTGAGAGCGTAAACGGTTAAACAAAGCCACCCTGGAGCAGGATGAGATACACACTGCAGACACACACACACACACACACACACACACACTGTTAGTGGGATTTAAAGGATGTTTGTGTGGGTCAGTCTGAAATTTAACCATTTTGAAAATAAGAAATAAACACAAACAAGCTCTGGTGGCTTGGTGACAGTCATGTGATGGAAACTGATTTTTTAAATATCCTGGTGAGTAAATATATTTAGCATAAATAAATCTCTGAGCATCGTGTTTCCTGTGAGCCTTTTATCAAATGAGAGCTGGTAAAATGATAGACAATTGTCTCAGTGTGTGGGATGAAGGACAAGTGATGAGCATTTAGTGCAGGTCCACATAAAGTGAGCCACCTGGGAACCTGTGAGGCACAAACATGCACACATGTGTGTTTCCATCACACGTGTGCTCAGGCTTCACAGCAGCTCAGCACTGTGGCATCACAGCAAGAGGATTCCTGATTTGGTCCTTCAGTGAGGAGGTTGCATGTTCTCCCTGCGTCTCTGCATGTTCTGGTTTTCAGGTTAACTCCAGTGTATCAGCACAGGCTGAACTAAGTCACACGAGACCACTGAGACCATCTGTGTTAAACGTAGTCATTCTGTTTGTCCTTCCCTGATCTCATCTCAGGATAATAAAACAACAGCGATAATAATTTACTGAGGATCTGTGTTTAAACTCAACTCAAGTCAATCTGTGCGCACCACAGAGTGTCATCCCAGGATGAATGCAGGGAATCCTGAATCTATGTGAGGACCATGACTCCCACCCTAACATTAACCATCAAACTTAAAGGCTTCTTCATAGTTTCCATCTTAATGTCTGCAACGATTCACATGATGCAAACGTCATCAAACAGCCCAAAACACAGAGACAGTTAAATCAACACATTTCCCCCTTTTGTTTCTGAATAAAATCCTTTTCCATAATTTTACTCAATTTCGGTTTCCTTTGATTCATTTTCAGTTTATTTAGGCTCTTTGCTTTTTGTTGTTTTTGCTCATTTGTGTTTTTCTTTTTTTACTGTGTCACCAAGGAGACCAAAATAGTAAAAATCATACTAATGTCTAATTGCTAAAGAAATGACAACAGACCTCAAAAGCAAAGCAAACACAAATATCCATCTCAGGTGATGTGAGACCTTTTCAAATGTTCATTTCTGCCACTTATCCTCAGTTTAAAAATAAATGGAAATCCCTGATTTGCTGGATTAAAAGTGGAATAAACCCACGATCAGCGTTCTTCATGGACTGTCTCTTCTGGGAGGGTTTGGAGATGACTTTGATCATCCGGCTCTGGAAAGAACCCACTTCCTGTCTGTTGTTCAAGAAGAGGCGCAGCAGCAAGCAGAAATGCTTCCTCTTGTCCTGATCAGAGATGAACAGCGACTTGGCGCAAGCGAACATCTGCTGACGAGACACACAGACAGCATGAGTGTGAGACTTATTACACTTCACATAATCAGACGCAGAGGAGGAAACTCTTCAGGAATGTTGTTTTTCATAAATAACTTTAATTGAAATAAACTTTTTCTGGTTATTTTTTTTCTGCTTTTCTCAGCATTTGAAGCTCGGCTGAAGGTTGTACAGTAATAAAGACAAAGCACGTCTGTTTCTCCATCAGTCGGTAAATAAGCGAAAGGCCGGCGCACGGGCAGCGTGTTTGCAGTTTTTCTATCAGACGCGACTGTTTGTTGAGTCAACAATGGCCTGAAATAAAAGGTTTAATGCTCGTGGCCGAGTAAACACACGCAGAGCTCAAACACAACAGTTCATACATCATCATTCACTTATCTGCTCACTTTCAGACAACCGCCTGAATGAAACTTATTCTAAGGACTGTTTTTACTCTTGTCACAGTGTAATATACATGTCATGTATCATATGTCGTAAAAGAAATTGTAGACTTTGCCTTTAATATGAGGTAGTTACAAAAACCCCACAAATCAAAAGTATACGACGTGTACAGCTCGCTGTGAAAACACTGGTCGGTTGTTTAACGAGTGTAACAAACGATGTTTATGACAGCGACGTTAATAACTGTGTGTAAAACCGCAGAACTCTCAACAAAGCCGAGGTTTCATCACTGCTGCTTCTTTTCAGCCAAACCAACGTGGTGACAAAGAAACTTCAGATGTGTGCTTATGGTTGTGAAAGGACCCATCTTAAATCAGTTCGTGACTATTTTCGTTCCTAAAACTGTACAGAGTCGTTTTGGTGCCTAAAACGAACCAAACAGCCGCTGAAAACACGAAAAAGATGAAATAAAAAGAAAGAATTTCTGAAACACATCAGACAACAACAACAGTTCCCTGTGTTATGTGTTTGATCCTGACCTCCACTCTGTATCTTGTGGCAGATGAAAACTTGAAGTGTTGTGTTTCTGATTTCTGCTTGTGCTGGTCACTAATCATGTCTGGCAGTTTTTTATGCACTTCACCTGTTTGGTGAGGCACTCTGGATATTTGGGGCTAAACGTCACATATTCCTGTGTGTGGATTATAGAAATGAGAACTAGAAGTGCAGAATGCAGGAAGCAGATTTCATTTAAAAAGTAAATGGCCTGTATTTATATAGCGCTTTACTCGTCCCTAAGGACCCCAAAGCGCTTTACATATCCAGTCATCCACCCATTCACACTCTGGTGATGGCAGCTACATTGTAGCCACAGCCACCCTGGGGCGCACTGACAGAAGCGAGGCTGCCGGACACTGGCGCCACCGGGCCCTCTGACCACCACCAGTAGGCAACGGGTGAAGTGTCTTGCCCAAGGACACAACGACCGAGACTGTCGGAGCCGGGGCTCGAACCGGCAACCTTCCGATTACAAGATGAACTGACAACTCTTGAGTCGCAGTTTTAGTGCTGATATTCAGCTCGATCCAAACTTAAAGAAACTGAGAATGTCGTTTGGCTTTCTGAGCGTTACAGATGATCACAGTGTTGCTCTGTGATGCTTTCACTCCAACACTCTTATTCCACTGAGGGGCAACCAAAGACACTCAGTGTACTTCTATTAAAAAAGGATTTTACATTAACTTGATGTGTGGAGCTGTCAGGTATATTCTGATTTTTTTACACTCTATTATCACGTTTTAGAGCCGTCACGTTACCAAACTTCACTTCCCAAAATCAAAATTTTTGTTAGATTTCACAATGATGATCATTTGAGACATGTAAGACTGGAATGGTAACGGCAACAATTTTGGTCTAATTAGTCTGTAACTTTGCATAATTAATTAAACTTTTGCGTATGGGTATTACTGACTTTGTATTAATATTTCAGTTTAATCATCAGCATCATTATAGCATCTCTGATCAGTTATGTCTGAAAATAATAAATTAATACATTCTGCAAATCTTCAGAAAACTGTTCGGGACAAAGACGTGGATGGATGCAGATGGCTCGCTGGTGCCACCTCAGCCCCCATCAGTGAACACCTGGAGATGAATTGAGAGGATAACTAACGGGACAAGGGGGAGCGTAAGTCTCCGAAAATTAGTGTCTGTGTCACAAAAGGAATTTTCTGACCGGGAACGACTGTCGACATAAACAGAGGTTTGCTCACGGCCACCAGAGAGCTCTCACCCTGGAGTTTGGCTGTTCATCGAACACCAGTTTGAATGCGTCTGCCTGTGACTGGCTGGAGCTGTCCAGGCACATGTAACCACACACTCGATACACAGAGTCGCCATAACCGGCCGCTGGATGGAAAAGACAATGAGAAGGAAAAACAGCAGTGAGTGGAAGAATGTAAGACATAAAATTCACTCAAATTTTAATGTAAAGCTGACTATAATCATCTTTATGTACCTTTTAAATGGTCCTGCGTGACTTTCCATCCATGACCAGTGATGTAAACACAAGGAGGAGGGCAGAAGAACCTGGAGGTGATGCAGAAACAGTCAATGAAACAGCAGATTTTATCCAACTAAACCAGTTCACGTGCTCATGATTTCACTAATCTCTACATTAAGATTTTCTTCTTCTGTTCATTCATCTGTTAAAATCAGGTGAGTCTCGTGTGTATTACAGGTATTACAAAACGTTTCTCTGCCTTAAACATCACGGGCAACAAACTCAGTCTCACTAATGGGAAATACTGTGAAATGTAAATCACATGATTGGACAAAATAAAGCTTTCTTTGATTTATTCAAATGCATGTCCTGCTCAACATAAAGCAAGTTTAATTAGAAGAAACTTGTTTGTTCACAACTCTAACTGTCGTGCATAATAATGGTTAAAGAAGGTGAACGTGCAGCCAGTTCACATCAGCCTTATTCAGCTGCATGAATATGACAGCTCAGGGCAGTTACAGGACACACAGAAGAACAAATTACATCATGAATAATAATCTTCAAAAGAATAATGCAGGACAGAATATGACATTAGAAAATCAAATAACAAAGGAGTTTTGATCATGCAAATTATCCTTAACACACAACCTGGCTCTCATGAAACTGGCTGCACATAAAAAACTGCAAATAAACTTTGCAGTTTCTCAAAAACTCAAAAGTATATTCACCTTCCTCTACTTCAAGTCTTTAATCTCATCTTTAATTTTAGTTTTGTGTGCCAGTTGCTAGCTGTAGCTAGAGGTGGTTTGTTATTAAGTTTCCACCAAATGTCAAATATGTTGCAGATTTCTTATTCATTTCTTGCTTTCTGTGACTTCATGTGTAAGCAAACAGGATTTCTTTGGGGTTTGGGTCCAAAAGAAATCATCTGTTGTTCTCGAGGAAATCATTTTATCACTGTTTTATGACACTTTGTGGATCTGTGTAGATATTAAAGTAACTGCCAAATAAACTTGGAAATCTGAGCCTGTCCCTCAGATCAGTCAGACGAATCTGTTTGTTAGAAAAAGATTTCTGTGTTGGGTTTAATAAAATGTGTTAATGCTGCAAGTTTATTTGTGTAATGTCTTGATGCATGCTCAATCATCATCATCATTGATCAATGAGATTAATGCACGCAGATTAATGATCATAAACTGACCTCACAGCCCATTGTTTATTCATGCGCCTGGTTTCAGTCATTGTGCAAATAAACTGTTTATAAAGTTGGGGAAACCTGCAGTCAGCTGAGACTGAAGAAGTCACCTGGATGAGTGACGAAACGTTTCTCCCACTGAAAACGTTACGTCCAGATGAACAGAATCAACTGTTTTTGGATTATTTGTGTAATCTATTTTATTTCTATAAAATCATCACCACACCTTTTCTCATTGCCGTAGGACTTCTGAGCGACCTTGGCGTGCAGGATGGTGACACTCTGGTCTGCGTGGGCTTCTCGTCCTAGATCTGCTGATGTTCCCAGTAACTGACAGCCTTGAAACCCTGAGTTCAGTCTCCTGATTGGACGACAAGGATGTTTGTCACAAAGAAACGCAAAAAACAACACATAGTGTGTTTGTGAGGAAAAGCCAAGATTCTGATGGTGCTCAACAGAAAAACTATGCATAAAAGTGTTGATGGAGGTGCAAATGTTTGTGCAAATTTTATGACATAAAATAACTCAGCAGTTGTTAGTTTATCTACAAGTGTGAACATCACTGTAGCACTTTAGGAAAAATCAGGGGTCACAAATATTCATAATACAGGAATGACCAGTGCTCCAAAACATCTTCCATCACCATCATCGTCTGACTTTAAATCAGGCCCGTTTCTAAACTCTGTGTGATGTCTGCAGCATCTCAGCCCAGTTTGGTGTTTTTCACAGAAACTAAATGTGTGCAACGAGACTCCGTTTCAGGCAGACAGCTCACTGCCATCATAAACGAACACATGGACGTGGTTAAAGTGGTGAAAACCTGCTCGTTCCCTTAAAAAAACAAAGCTGAGTGACACATGAATGAAGCAGACTAGAGTTTTACCACCATGTTATCAAGAAACGAATCCCACTGTAGTTTGAATTACACTTTTTTTCATGTTCCCACAAAGTAGCTCAGACTAAGCACACAATTATCATCAGCAGACACTCCATCCATCTTTAGAAGAGACTCAACAGCAGCAGATATAAATACAGGCAAGCCAAAGATGGGATAACAGTGTTGTTAGAGACTCATTAAAACATGGAACAGTTCTTTTTATAGCTGGAAAACATTCGCCTGTTTCTACCAGCACAGAGAGAAAAGACAGGAGACGCAGTAATGTCACATTTTCACAAATTTAAGTTTCAGATACAGACTCGGGACCAAATGAAAGCAAAATAATCCTGTCTGATCAGAACTAGTTAACTTACAGGTTACTCGTACAAAAATAACATGTTAATACACATATGCTGATGCATATACATGCAGTTTATTATTCAATTCATGCTACTTTATATGCAGTTTAGATTTACAGTTTAGGTCTATGGCTGCTTTTCTTTGTTGATCACTTGACTTCTGCATTCATGCTTATTTCATTTCTTCTTCTGGCCTCTGGTTTTTTCTTGTTTCATTTTGTTCCACAGAGCATCTTTGCTCATGTCTGGATCCATATTTTTCATTTTTTAGTAGATTTACATGTTCACAGTTAAAACAGTCAAAAGGATAAAACTTTTAGAGCAGGGTGGACTCCTTGTACATACCCTGACCTCACTATTCAAAACTTGGGCCATGTTTAATATGAACATACGCCAACGGAGATATATGGATGTGTATGCATGTTTGGTTTTTCTTGCAAATAAAGAGAAACATTATTCAAATATAGGCAGAACTTAAAAGCTATTGTTTAATCACATTATTTGTTTCATGTATTGTTCATTTTCTCCTCTGATTGACATTTAATTTAAAGAAAAAACCCTCAAAGTCTTATTTCCGGTCATTAAATTTTAGATATTTCATGTTTTGACAGCAGGTAAGTGAACAGCGGGTAAGTGAACAGCGGGTAAGTGAACAGCAGGTAAGTGAACAGCGGGTGAGCCACTGCCAGAACAAAACTAGACTAAGTGGACAAAAGATTCCTGAAGCACAAATACAGACTTGGGTTTTCTGAATGGACATTTAGTATTTGATATTATGTTTCCACTTGCTGGATCTTTTGTAATTACAAGACAACAAAGCAGTGCTTTAATCAAATAAAGGCTTTACACTTAGATTTTAATGCTTTTATTAGTCCCACAATTTCCCCTTGTGGGACTAATAAAGGTATCTTATCTTATCTTTTTCTATTCATTTAATCCTGAGTTTGAGCAGGTTATTTACAACCTTTTTACTTTGTAAAGTGTTCATTACTTCTGTTAACGCGGCCTCCTTCTGTGTGATTAGATTTTAAATGCTGAGCTGAACAGCAGGCAAAAGGCTGAAAGAACAAGCTGACTGACCCCGTGTTGCTCTGCTAACAATAGCGCCTGTCACATTAGCTGTGTTTTCTCCCCGCTGTAGCGATGTAATGAGGAGCCAGACACAGAGTTACGACCCCGGGGCCTGGAGTCTGGAATGCTACTCCTAATGAAGACTATCGACACGAGAGGAGGAGAGGAGGAGAGGAGGAAGACAAGGGAATAAGGAAGGACTCAAAAGACAGCTGAATTATGTAAGTGGTTAAAAATCAACCTGCTGCGGTTTCCTGTGGCAGCCACCAAGTTCTCACACAAATTTAAGGTAAGAGCAAATACTTTCCATTCACAACTATTATCTGGATATTAAGATATTAAAAAAGTAGAGAAACTGAGAGTGACTAAAGTCCCAAACAGAGATGGCACAGTGGATGTTTGAGCTTCACATGCAGACTTTGGACTCTTCAGTACAGAAACATGACTTCAAGCTTTAAGTAGAAAGAAATTCATGTTTTAACAACTCTTAAGAAATATTTCCAATCCTATTATGGCAAACAACAAACTTTAACTCAGTTCTATTACAATAACTCTAAAATCACAAAAAATGGAAAAAAAAAAAAGTATCACTTCTCTTTCTTATGGTTTATTTTATTTTTGAAGCCCTTAAACTGTTACTGAGCACAGAAAGCATTTAGCAAATATATTATTTGTGCACTTAGAAAAGTCACCAAGGATACAAGTCCTTCTATAATCTCGACCCTGATGATGACACATGTATTCAGACCAGCTGGTCTCCATAAGGGCGAGCGCCTGCTTGGCCAGCTGTACTGAACATCAGATCCTACTAACGCCTCTCTCCACGGGTCAGGGTTCAGACTTGAATGGCTGTGTGTGTCTTCACCAGTTTGTAGTTTAAATTAGACCTTCACATTTTCACAGGTCAAAGGGCAGGCGTCAGGAGCGCAGGGCTCCTGGTATTTCACACCAGGAACACAGAATGAACTGAAGAAGGACGGGGGGAGGGGTGGACAGAAATACACTTGCATCTACATCTTCTGCTCCAGATGTTGTTCTAGCACACAAGTATTTGAAAGTTTAAAATCACTACAATTACTGGGTTTGTTAGTATGATGAACTCAACAGGTGTCTGGGCCCTAAAATCCACAAGTGGAAGAAAAGTTTTTTAAATTAGAAGTTTTAGAACCTTCAGAGAATTTAGATCCAAGCTGGTGAGGAGCAGGAGGTTGATTAAGAATAAAGTGTATTTCTCGACTGGTTGTGAGTGGCTGCTGGAGTTTCGAGCTTGCAGCTATTGTTTGGTGAAACTGGTCACATAGAAAGGACTGCACCTAAACCCTCTATGTGATTGCTGGGTTCGAGCAGATTGCCCAGGTCAGTTGTAGTTTGCATGGAAGTGTCGACTTGTCTGCAAAAACTCAATATTTACACTGTGGGCTGCAGTAAAACCTAAAAAAGTGGGACGCAAACTGAAAACAGAAAACATTTACCTTTAAAATACAAGCTGAACCTTACTGACATGTTTACTTTGAAGGCAAACAGTGTTTGCAGACAAGTTGGGGTCTTCCATGCAAACCACCGGGAGGTTTTTGGTACATCATGTGAAACCTCTTTGTGACCAGTTTTATTCTAGAAACTACCAGCAACCTCCTACAACCGCATACCAACTGGTTGCAGAATGCATGGTTTCCTAGCAACTGGTGATTACCAGGTTGGTCTCTGATCGATCTCTAGGTCTGCATGGGGCTTGCCAGAAACCTTCAGTAACCACCTGCAACTGTTTGGGATAATACTCATTTTCCCCTTATGACCAGTGGCTGCCAGATGGTCGCCTGTGTGACTGGGGCCTTTCTGAACTACTGGGAATTGTTGGTTGCTGTAGTTTGGACACCAGTGTGTGATTTGTGGGATGACTGGTCCAGGATACGATTATGGGATAAGATGTTGCTTCAACCAAAACAGAAGTGGAGCTCCAAGCCATAGACAGTATATAAAAGATGGCTGTAGCTTTTAAGTCTGAAGCGTGACAGTGACGTGGAAATACCCTATAAAGCAGCTTTCTTTCTGATGACCAGCAGGGGGCGACCATTCTGTTTGCAAAATAAAGTCCAGCTGTATAAGGGTTTATGTAGAAATGCTTCCTGCAACTCCCAAATAAAAAATGAGAATGAAGCATGCTTCAGGAAAGACCTCAGCACATCTGGGTTCACAAAACCAAGATAGCAACAGCTTAAATGCACAGCTTTAAAACTGGACCTCAGTAACTAAGCTGCCATGCCAAGTTGGATACATCCATCTTTTAAATACAGTCTATGCTCCAGTCTTTTTCAAAATACATTTAAGTTTTCAGAGCTAAATGCCAGAAAGACAGTAACACCCAATCAGATTATATGTTCAGGTCACACGACTTATTCATAAAAACAAATATCCTATCATGTGCAGGATTTTAACATAAATATCATAATTCAAACTGTTTTGGTTCGTCTGACATGAACAGTTCCTGCCACATGGGACTCGTTTTCTTTGGCCTCAAAACTGTTAATGTAATCACATTACTTTAGTAATGACATTAGAGTGAGAAAGCTGAACATTAGAGAGTCACTGATAAGTCACAAATTATCTGTAAAACACTTGATGAACTTTAGGAAGCAGAAACATTTGTGCGCTCGTGCGCCGTAGCAGGTCTCACCTCTCCAAACTTCTCCGCGCGCTCAACATTGTTCGGATTTCAAAGGCCGGGGGGCGGGGTCTCTACCTCCCCAAATACTTCTTGGCACTTTTATACCTCCTCACCATCACTGCACCACTTCATTCCAACAGTGAGTAAAACCGAGAGAAGGTCAGCGCGGCAGAAACACGAAGCTGACCTGAAACTTTTTCACGTCCACGCGCTCATTCCTCACCTCCTCTCCGAGACTTTGGGATAAACTCCAGCAAACCGTGACCTCACCTTTCCCGACCCGGGACGCCCTGCGTGCGTGTGTTTCGGGACTTTTGTCGCAGAGGTCTGAGCACCCGGCTGGTTCTCCGTCTTACCTGTCCCATCCACCCGTCCGTGCTGCATCGTGTCCGGACGGCAGCGTCCCCAGGTGAGTCAGCGGGCTGATTGGGTCCGGGGACAGGGGAGGGGGTATAACAGAGCGGTGTCTGCCTCGGGGAAGCCAGGTCGGTGCAGCAGTGTTTCTGAGAGGAAACGAAGTGTTAGATTGATTACACAGTGAAACTGTTTAAAGCAGAGATTAACACGATGAGTCAGATCACAGTGTCGCATCATTTAAACTTCATTTAACCGAGTGAAATAGGAGATGTGTGCAGGACAATGCGGTGCTTTGCAGCCTGCTTCAAGAGCAAAGGTATCCCAAAGCAGAAATCATCGAGTTCATCGTGTAATATGGTCACATGTGATATGTGTGCATGAAAGTTTTAACTGAATTGTCTTAATTTAATATCTGATTAATAATTTTAACCAGTTTTCAAGTAATCCAGTCAAACAGACTGGACTTTAAAATGCAACAATTCGCTGTTTTTCTTGATTAAAGTAAAAATCTTTAAATTTTAAACTAAAAAAATGGGCTCAGCTTCTGGGAGGAAAAGAAAACTCAAAACTGAGTTATTCTGTGGCATTCAGAGAAAACAGTTAAGTTATTATTCACTGAAATGATCTGTGGATAAATTGTTAATGAAAATAATTGTTAGTCAAATGCCAACACAAGCAGTTTGTGACTGAGATTTTCCAAAGAGGCCTTCAAAATTTAAGGAGCTTGGAAAAGCCTCTGAAAGTTGGATGTTGGATAAGGTCCAGTTTGGACATTATTATCAGTATTGATCATGATAATAATGCACTAATAAAGACAAGTTCTCACTGATGTTATTATGATTTTTGTACGGTTTTAGATGCAGTAAGTGTTTACATTGAAGTGAAACAAATGATGAGTCAGTGAAATGAAGTGGAAAGATAATTAAAGGTCACTAAAAGCATCACATTTGAAAATAGATGTGAGTGTAAGACAGAGGGAAAGAGGCTTTGGGTTCACACTGGTTGCCTGGAGGTGATGCTTCAGGCAGTCAAAGCCACCATTCAGGGAGAGTCTACTCGAGCACACAGACGGGTCAGGGCTCACGTGGTTAAGTCAACACAGTCAGTCAGAGAGAAGCTTAATCATACAGCCATACAGGCAGGTGGACAGACTGGAGGTGACAGAGTCATGATACAGGCGCATGATCAGCGATGCCGTGTCTCTGGGAAACTTTAAACGGGTCAGCGGTGCAGGTGTGACTAAAGAGGGGCTCCTGGGCTATCAGTGCAGCCATGGGTACAAATGACTGGGTACAAGGGGTCCACACCTCCTTTTTCTAGGGGAAAAAAGTGTGTGTCATTATGAATAATAATGCAGTGCTCAGTCTGGAACTCATTCAGCCAATAATTGCATGAATAGCTGCAGTTTTTCTTTATTTTTTCTTTTGCCTTTTGCATTTTTGAGAACTACTCAAGTGAATCAAAACAGAAATGCAATGAACTACAAATATATCCAGATATGTTTGTGAAAGAGTGGTAAAACGTTGTTAGTTAAACAGCTGTCGATGACTTTATTTGTTGTCGCACATGCTGACGAGATGAAAAAATGAACTTCTCTTTTGCACTAAATGCATAAAACCAAACATTGGTGAGTTTTTGTTTGTCCAAAGGTTTACGACACAGACTCAACCTAGACCTAAGTTTGTTTGTGTTTTAAATAAAAGGAGAGCTGGGACTGAGAAGCTGTTCTGCACAGCCACATTCAGACTTTCAGTCCTTTTGTATAACGGTATTATTCCCTGCATGCGATGCATTTAGAGGACACATACCCTGACAGGCTCTGTACTCCTAATAATCCTGCTGATGATAATCTACCCACCTGAGCCGCAGTCAGGTCTTTATATAACCGGGCTCAGGTCCATTTATGTTCGCGGGCAGATGATAATAAAAGGCGGTGGAGGAAGTCGGGGTGTAATTCAAAGACAGGCAGGTAGTGAAACTGCTCGCAGTAGCAGACTTAACATCTGGTTCTAATCTAAATCTAACAACAAGAAGTGCTGTGTGTTCATCTCAATATGGTCTCCAGCTGCCACTCAAACCCCAAACCGCCTACAGAACAACCGCAGCCTCTCCGCCCGTCTCACTGTATACATCCAAACTGCTCTCTCTGATCTCCAGCTTTTCTACATCCTTTCTTTCCCCTCACGCTCACTCTGGCTCTCTTTATGTTACACAAACATATGACCTCCGTCTCTGTCCGGCTTTCTAATCTCTGAAGCTCAGAGCTGATGTGTTTTCCTCTCAGTGTGAGTCCAGCCTGTCAGTCAAACTGTGCGTCACAACTTCTGTCCTTTCTGTTTTTCCACATCTTGCTCTTTCACCTGCTGTTTTAATCTCAGTGCTTCCTCTTAACATTGCATATGTTCAGTCATATTCACACTGACAGAACATAAAGTCAGTAGAAAACACTGCCATCCATTGATCTGTCTAAAAAGCAGACCTTTAATGAAAGTCTGTGTAGCAGGAATGTTTTTTACACCCTTTATTTGTTTACTGATTCGCCTCCTCAGATTTATCAAGTTTGTTTTTGTTCCCGTTCTATAAAATATTGCAGTTTTTTCCAAGCTGCTGGTGTGTGTTATATACCAGATGTCTTTGGCAGCTTTACACAACGCCGATAGAGAGACGAGGCTGTTTTTTAATGTGTAGCATTACTGTTGTGAAAGGAAGCAGTTTAGCCCACAGAACAATGATAACCACAGTTTATTAACACAACTGTGGACATTTAAGTTTTATCGTACTGAATGATGCATGCCTAATTCCATATCTGTGCACAGGCCACAGCCTTGAGGCTTCCCTCATTTCTTTATTTTTTGTTTCCAAAGGAGATTATCTTGTTTTTTTCAAGTTATCTGCAGCAAAACAATGTTTTTGTTTGTTAAGCCATTTATCTCTAAATGTTTTTATCTATTTTTTATTTATAAAAGAAAACATAAAAATGTGTTTTTGTATTAACAAGGTGATTACCAAAGAAATATTAGCCAGCAACTTGATATATCTCATCATAGTGTGCAGTGTATGCCTAAAACAAAAACCTGTCTGCTTCAGATGAACAGTGTCTGAAGTCATGTCCTTAAGAAACAGGAACAGAATCCAGCAAAGACCCAACAGAGAACCTGAGAAAAGCATCTGGATCTTTATTTGATCCATCTGCTATTCAAGCTTCAGCAGAAATGTTATCAGTGGAAAGGCGGCTGAAGCCAATCTGAAGGAAGTGTGCCAGATTATATCAGAACATCTCTTCATAAATCGCTGCACCTACTTCCAGTGTTAATGAAATCGAGGTGACTCGAGATTGTTGCACAGTGCTTTATAATCTGAGGTGTGTATTTGTGACAAGTCGGGGAAACAATCTTACAAGTGACCCAATCAGATCTGGAGCCAGTATTTCACCATCATGATGTTTGACCCCAAATCCAGCTGTTTAAATAAGAAATATTTGTGCCTCCAGAAGATTCATTGTTCTCAATTGACAGATAAGGTAAAAATGACATTTTAATAATGTCTGCTCATAAACTGAAAGTAAAATTCAAATCAGTGCAAATTATTCTTCAGAGGAATAACTATCAGATACAGGGATCTATCAGGGCAGCTCAATTTTCTTTCTTTGAAAGTGTTTTCTGGCAGTTGAGCTTGACGTGTCAGGTACTTGTGGCATTTTTCAACAAGCAGGGTTACTGTTGAACTGCTACTCGTTCATAGAGGTTTGATGGAGCTTGAGTTTTAGAGTTAGTACAGTTTAGTAACAAGCAAAAAGAAACAGAGAATGAAAGGAGACACACAGCTTCCCTTAATAGTCACATTAACAAGAACCGATTCACTTTCACTGTGAGCGCTAACACTTCAAACCTGTAAATTAAGTCTTTCTTTGCTTGTTTCATTTGACTTTTGATAAACTGAGACTCAGAAACTTTCTAAACGGGTGTCTGAAAGGTAAGATTATCTGTCACCATTTTAACCTCAGGGTCATGACCCCAGGGGGGCGGTGCGGCATCATTATCAGAGGCTGACGTGGACGATGGTAAATAAGATGTTTTCACATGTCAGGCATTCGTTTATGACAGCTCCACTCAGTTCATGTCACCATTGACTGGTCTTTCGAAACTTCACTTATCAAATTGAACCCTAGTTTCCAGATGTTTTTTTTCTCTTTTCACAACATATAATGATATTTTTTTACTTTCTTTTTTTTCGCACTTAAAAAATTCAAATTGCGGTCTGATGACCATAATAATGTCAGAACAGTTTTATGTGAGAATTCAGGTTTCTGTCATGAGATGCTTTATGTCACAGAACTGACAAAAGGCCGTGTACTGTTCGTCACAGGCACTGCTGAGCATAGAAATCATAATTTGGCCAATTGATTTTTTTGGTTTCTTTACTAATTTTAGTGGAAATGGATGTTAAAAGGTAATGTGATTAGTTCAGTTCGGTCTTGGTTTCAGGACCACATCAAATTTACAGATGAATTGACATAAAAATCTTCAGAGGTTTGGCCCAGTGTAGACATTCAGATCAGGAACCACGATTCTCTGTAAGGATTCTTTACCATAAAGATAGTATAAAAAGAGTTATTCTGTCCAAATACCTATCATAATCAAATAAGTAAAATTGGGAGACATCATCTTGATGTCCTCAAGAAATAATTTCAGCTAACTAGTCTGGATCATTTCTATATCCAGGGAAATAACTCTGAGTCACAGCCTCTGAGGCTAAAAATGATTTATCTCGTGTAACTGGAAATATCCAAGAAGTCTGTGCTTTAGTTTGGGTGAGTAAAATCCTAACCTAGTCTAGAATGCTGCTGAGCACAAATTAAGAGTTGTTATTCTGATTGTTGTGCATTTTATTCATGCAGCTTGCTAACTAGCCTTGCTGGCTTTACCTAGTAGGTTAGTACTTGACCTTCTTGTTTAAATAACAGTGAGAATGTCGGGCTCCCAACATTAAACAGGACTACAACCAACATGCAAACATTAAGGCTTCAAAGTGGAACTCAAAAAACAATGGGTGAAGTGACGGTGGCTTCATCTTTCATATACAGTCTAT